CCTGAGAATTCCCCACAGCTGCTGGAGGTGGATAATGGAGTTCTTCAAAGGGAACACAGCTTACAAATGAAACACAGCTCAGATGTTCTTTGGGCTTTCTTCTGAAATGAGCAGCAACCCACTGCACTGGGATGTTTAAAGAAGAGCCCACAGCACTCATGCACACCCAGAATAAGAGTCCTCTCTCTGCAGAAGTTGCGTCTGAGGAGCAGGCCATGGGACACAGAGGGTGAGAAAAAGCCAGCCTGGAGGTCCTCACCACTGAGTGCAGAGCTGTGCCCACAGGAAGATTCACAGAATCCCAGAATGGCCAGGGTTGGAAGGGACCTTAAGGATCATGAATCTCCAACCCCCCTGCCACATGCAGGGTCACCAACCTTCCCACCTAATGCTAGACCAGGCTGCCCAGGGCCCCATGCAATCTGGCCTTGAACACTTCCAGGGACGGGGCATCCACAGCATCTCTGGGCAGCCTGTTCCAGCACCTCACCACTCTCTCTGTGAAGAATTTCCCCCTGACGTCCAACCTAAATCTCCTCTCCCTCAACTTAAAACCATTTCCCCTCATCCTGCTGTTATGTACCCTTTCAAAGAGTTGATTCCCCTGCCCTCTTTAGGCTCCCTTTAGGTACTGAAAGGCTGCAATGAGGTCACCCTGCAGCCTTCTTTTCTCCAGGCTGAACAAGCCCAGCTCCCTCAGCCTGTCTTCATAGGGGAGGTGCTCCAGTCCCCTGATCATCTTCATGGCCCTCCCCTGGACCCTCTCCCTGTCTTTTTTGCACTGGGGGCTCCACACTTGGACGCAGTATTCCAGATGGGGCCTCACAAGAGCAGAGTAGAGGGGAACAATCACCTCCCTGATTCACCTTCTTCTCCCCTCAGCTTGGCTCACCGTTATGAGGTACACAAGGTCCCTTTGAAACATGGAAGATGTGACAGACATGATGTCATCCTCAAGGGAGCACCATATTCTAGCAAGAACACACACACAGCATCCATTAGGAGCAGGGCCACCACCTGGGTGCTACCCACAATATTTGCCAGTTATAACCCAGCTAAGTACAGAACTGGGCCCAGGGCTCTCAGCATCACTGCAGCACTTCATCATCATTAGTGCTTCAACCTCCAATTAAGAAGCACAGACAGTAAGAAACTGACAAGAGAGCCACACGTCCTGCTGACAGACAAACTGCTCCTCCCCATTTTATTTACACCAATTCAGTTGCTGGTGAAATTCTAGTCTAGCTTACCTCTGAACAAACAGCAACAGCTAGGTTGGCCAGTGTGTCACACCTAAAAGCTTCCCAGACTGCTTCCTCTTCATCTCTGCCTGCACACAAACAAACTGACTGTCAGACAGCAGGACAAGGCCTGGCCTTTCACTCTACTTATGAAGCTTGTAGTTCTCATTAATGGGACGAATCTCTTCATTGATGTGAAGCCAGAATTTCAATCAGGCAACCTTCATCTGTTCCTGCTCCTAGGGAAAATCACCAAGGCAAGATTTAAGATATCAGCAACTGCTTGTGACATGCAACCAGGTTTCTTTAAGAGTTAATAATAAATAAGAAGTCATGCATAACAAAGCAGTAAGTCCTTGGCCAGAATTTAAGCAATACAAAAGGAAGATTTCCAAGCCTTCACAGCCCTCCTTAGTTCATGCACGTCATATATGGTGGTGGGAGTCATCACCCCAATGATCACCCACTCGAAATTCCCACTCAGCTCCAACTTCAAGTCATCATTCAAATCCTAGAAGGCCAAGAGAGGAGAAAGGAGTTGGCAGAAGGTACTGCCTTTGAGGACAGAAGGAACTGAGCTGTTCAGCACTTCTCTTCCTTGCATCAATCTTCCAGACTCCAATCCTCCTTGCATCAACAACTGCTCTGAACTAAACAAGAACAAAACAACCTTGGTCAGGTAAAGTCTCTGTTGACCTTTCTCTTATGGACATTGGGTCGTTTTTCACTTTTCACCCAAGTGACACAAACACATTCACACATCTCTGCAGACCACCCACCCTGCCAGTAGTGCTCTTATAAGTGATCAGAACTTGCTCACGTTGGGAAACATTTAGTTTGGTCAAGACGTCAGTGATGGCATCTTCATCCGTGCCTGCAAGAAACAAATGCAAGTTAGTCAGGCTGCCTGCACAAGAATCAAAGAGCCCTCTGGTCTTGTGCCATCTCCAGTCCCTCACACAGCCGGTTCTCAACAGCCCCAGGACTACATCTATGCACACAAAGCTGCCAGGACCCACACCACCAGAGCAACTGCATTTCAGGACATGAAGGGCAGTTCTGTTTCCACTTTCCAACGATTTTTAGGACAGTTGTGTAGTGGAGCAATGCAAGCAGCTACGCTTCCCTCTAACAAACCACCAGAGCAGCCATTCGCAGTGCTGGGGAAAAAAACAGAAGTTGACCTGTGGAGGGAGCTCAACTTACCAAAGCCCTGAGTGTCTGTGCTTCTTGCTCAGCACTTGAAACTCAGCACCTTGCTTGTTGCCTAAGGCCACAAGAAAAGGATTTAGCAAAGGCAGACTCACACCAATGCACACATAGAGTTGAATTGAAAAAAACAAAAAACATAAAAGATGTGAACACAGAAATAGTAGAACTCCACCCACACAAGCGATGTTTCTCTCTCACTTCTGTCTCATGCAGCAGTCTGTTCTAGTGGGACTTCCCAAGCACATCAGAAAGAAGCCACAGGGGCACAACTACAAAGAGAACATATCTCCATATTGCTACCCATGGAATACCTGATTTCCAGTGAAACAAAATCTGGACCACTTGGCATCTGTGTTCAGGCCCACCAGGCCTTCTTCCTAGCAGTTCTCCATGTCAATCATAAAGCAGTGTGCTCCCATCATAGCCCTAGTCCTGACTTGTAGCAGTAAGGACCATTATTCTGCATCATTACCTTTGCTCTGCTCAGCACCGGTGAGGCTGCACCTGGAGAACAGTGTCCAGGTCTGGGCTCCCAGTCCAAGAGACAGCAGGACATGCTGGAAAGAGTCCAATGGAGGGCTACCAAGATGGTGAAAAGATTGGAACACCTCTTCTATGACAAGAGGAGGAGAGAGAGGGGACAGCTCAGCCTGGAGAAATGGAGCTCAAGGGGATCCCACCCATGACTGTAGAAGTTCTGTATAAAAGTTTGTCCTGATATCCAACCTAAACTTAGCCCATGTCTGTGTGTTCTGTGGAACCACACAGATGTGACAATGGGGTCTGGCTTCTGGGGTTCTGGTTTCTCAAAGGGAATCAGTGCATGGTGTCGGGAGCGGAGGAGGAACCAGCTGATCCTGCCAATAACGCTGCCATTGCGTGTCCCTCCTCAGGACTCCCACACCTTCCTCTCCCCAGCCCCGCTCGGCTCCTTGCAGGCTGCAGACACTGCTAAGGCTCTCGCGCTTCACGGCCGTCTTCTTCTCGTGCTGCCGGACCGCTCTCTGCAGGGCTGCGCTGAGTTCCTGCTGCTGCAGCCAGAACCACAGCTCCTGTGCTGACAGATGGAGGAGTTTTGTGCCGGCGCTCACAGCACGCGGTCTCCGGGCTGCTGGCGGCACGGCAGGATGCTCCCCTCCCTCCCATTGCCCCGCAGCTCCGGCATCCTCCTATTATCCGTCCAAGGATGATTTGCGGAATCAAACTCTCTAACCCACGTAAGGTTATAAGAGCAGGTACGTCTTTATTTCAGTGCTGCGCCACACGCTGGGTGCAAAGGGGATCGCTCCTCCTAGCTTGCACACCAAAGAATAGGGTCCCGATACATTTATAAGCCAATCCATACATATTCAGTAGTGTTACCCACGATGCATTAACATATTCATTACTTTTCCGGGAATTCATTTACATACTGTCCCCCTCCCCAGTGCATGCACAGTAGCTTCTATTGGATGAAGGCTTGACGTCTTCCTCCCCCTCTGGTGGTCGTTCTGAGATGAAGTCAGACGTCTTCCTCGCCATGTCCTTCCGACCTTTGTCCCAGTTTTGAGCTCTTCTCCCGCCCTGCATGCCTCAGCAATTTCTAATTCTGCCTATCTTTCCTCCCCCGTGCTTTCTTAGGGGCCC